GAACATGTTAATAGTCACGCAGAGTAAATGTAAAAGTGTGTGGTACCTACAGCTTTCTTTTTTCTCCATTTTTTTCTGGAGAGCCAATTATTAAAGTATTTACCAGCATACCCTTAGACCAGGGTTGGGGAACCTGCAGCCTTGAAGCCATGTGTGGCCTTCTAGGTCCTTGGGTGTGGCCTTTTGACAGAATCCAAGTCTTATAGACCAAATCTTTTTTTGAAGGGGATTTGTTCTGTGAAGTTTGGATTCAGTCAAAGGGATATACTTGAGGACCTAGAGAGCCACATGTGGCCTTGAGGCTGCAGGTTCCCCACCTGTGCCTTAGACTGTTCCCTTCCTTGTTTTGGAAAGGATGCCTGTATTCCTGTATTCCAAGATTGCCTTTCTTGCCCATGCTAAATACTTGGCAGTTAATCTTGTCCTGCTTTTATGGCATTGCCTGTATTCAATTTGTATTTTATTTCTTAGCTGTTTGTGCCTTTCAGTAATATTTTAAGCTTCTTGAGAGCATATAACACAAGGCGGAGCTACGTAAATATTTTATGGTTGGTGAGTTTTGCACTTTGCTCTGATCTAATAAGGATTAAGTGTCTTTTATGTGCAGGACCATTCATTAGGTGCAGGTACAGCAACAGCGTAGAGGGGATCAAGATACATTTTTCATAAAATGTGGCCGACAGGCCTCTTGAAGGAAGCTGGGGATTTGATGAATTTGAACTGAGGAGGAAATTCATTCCATGCACGATCCTGGAGAAGGGCAACGAAATGCCAAGTTTGTAGGAGGGCAGATGGCCAGTTCGGCTGTAAAGGAGTATGCAAAGGACACTAATGAGAAATAAACCTGGAAAGTTGACTGGGGCCAAATGGTGAAGGGCTTTAACTGCCATGCTGCAGAGTTGGTGTTTGCTCCTAGGGGCAGTAGGGAGCTACTGCAGCTTCTTGAGCCCGGGAGTGACATGGTCAGACTGGTTCTTTAGGAATGTGGCAGCATAGTGCGTCAAATGAAGAGACCAGAGATCTACAGCCAGGATCGAGAAGGAAACTCCTAGGGGTCAATGTCTAGTGAGTCTGTGACGAAAGTTTGGTGCAGTGTGGATGGAATTTCATTAGTACCTGAGAGGTTTTGTGACCTCACTGAAGGGGGGATTCTATCCATCTGTATTCTCCGTTATGCCTTTTGATCCTGTATGTTCTCCCATGACTTAACAGAGGATCCTGCCAACATGGTAGAGGTCTTCTACCCACCCCAAGGGTGATTTCCTTGGGTGTGATTTGTAAGGTCAGATTTTAGTTTTTATATTTTAGTAACTTGGACCAAAAGAGTGACAGTGGAAAGAACCCTGGCCTGGTAGTCAGCAAATGTGTTTATGTCTCTGAACCAGGTACATTTATGGTCTTGTAAGTTACTTGATCTTTCTGGGTTTCAGATTTTTCATTGATAAAATGAAGAGAGTTGGAATTGAAGGTTGGATGTTGAACCCAAGTCTTCTGCTGCTGCAGGAGCTCTGTAACTTTCATTTAATAAGGCACTGCCACTCTGTGATTCTCAGTTTTCTTATCTGTTAGTTAATCAGCAAACATTTATTAAGCTCTTACCATATGCCGTGCATTATGTTAAACTGGGGAGACAAAGGAAAGCAAAGAAGTCTCCTTCCCTCCAGGAGCTCAGATTCTGATGGGAGAGACAACATATAAATAATTAGGTCTGTACAAGATATGTACAGAGTATATGGAAGATCATCTCAGAGGGAAAGTCACTCGAAGCGGTGCAGAGGTGGGAACAGGGATGGGTCAGGAATGAGGAAGCCACAAGGTAGAAGTGAGGGGGCAGAGAGAGTGTCGTGTTAGAAGAAGAGCAAGTAGAGAGCGTGTAGGGGGCAAAGTCTGTAAGAAGTCTGGACAGGTGGGAAGAGGTCAGGTTGTGAAGGACTTTGAATGGCAGAGTTTTGATCCTAGAGGTAATAGGGAGCTATAGAAGTCTCATGAAAAAGTGTGTGTGTGTGTAAGACACAGAGAGACTTGGTCAGTCCCGCTCTCTATCGTTCAAGAGCCAGACTACGGTTAGAAATAAAAATCTGGGAGTTATCTGTGTAGAAATAACCATTGAATCCCTGGTTGCTGATAGGATCCCCAAGTGATATAATATAGAGAAGAACAGAAGAGGACCGAAGACAAAACCTTGGGTGGTTAACCTAGGATTAGCGAGTTCTGGAGTTAGGAATGGACAGACTGCTAGGAGTAGAGCCTGGAGAGCAGAGCGCCTTCACAAGGCTAGTAGGATCATCAGTGTCAAACGCTGTCGGTTTTCTCTTGGTTACTTCCAGTCAATCCTGTCTGAATTCTGTTTGTATGTTTGCTTGCTGTCTCCCCTCTTAGATGGGGAGCTCCTCGAGGGCATGGGCTATCTTTTGCCTTTCTTTGTGTCCTCATCACTTAGCACAGTGCCTGGCACGTAGTAGACATTTAATAAATGTTTATTGACTGACTGACTAGAAAGGTCAGGAAGGATAAAGAAGAGGCCCTTGGAATGGGCATTTAGGAGATCATTCATAACTTTGGAGAGAGCAGTTTTCACTGAGTGATGAGATGATCTATAAATTCCCATCCCGTTCTATCTTTACATTCTCTTTTCTGTGATTCCAAGGTCTCTTACAAGTCTGACATTCTATCACTGTGTCTAACTGGGTCTAAGTAACTCATTCCCTTATTCTGAAGCTGTAAATTTGGAAGCCATTTTGAATTTTGGAGTCTACAAACTACATCAAACAGTATATTCTTAGAAAAATTATTACATAAAATAAAAATTCAAGGGGAAATGATTTTTTGTGATGTGGTTAAAAAGGGTTGAAGACCCCAGGAAATGACACCTACAGATGAGAAACTTGAGCTGGGTCTTGCAGATGGTCAGGAAGCAGAAGTGAGGAGGGAGAGCATTCCAGGCCTGAACATTTGTGAAGTATCAAATATGGGCATTGTGATGACCATGAGGACCATTGGGATGAAAAACCACCATTGCCAGGCTCAGAAAGAGATTACCTATACTTCATAGGGTCGGGCTGGGGGGACACAGGGGCACAGAGAAGTAGATGAAAAGGGGTCGCTTGTAATGTGGATAAAAAAGAGCCAGACTAAAGGCTCTTGGAAAGTTTGGACAAGGAGAGAATACCAAAGATGGGAGTTTTGGGGAGGATCCATGAAAGAATTGGCTCCTGAACTGAACTGAACTCCTGAGCTGAGTTTAAGGAGGAGATAAATTTTAATTTAGAAACAACAACAACAACAACACCTCATTGGTATCTTTTGGGTTTTTTTACATCAACTTTATATTCCAGTGTGATCCTCCACCCCTCCCCTTACTCAAGGAGCTGTCCTTAGTAACAAAACAATAAAGAGAAAGGAGGAAAAACAGCACTTCAAAAAACGAGCCAACACCGCCACCCAATTTGATGGTCTTTGCAGCTTCCCCTAGTCCTTTGTTTGTTTTGGGAAGGGGGGCCGGGATGTTTTCTCCTCTTCTGTGGAGCCAAGTCTGATTAGGAAACAGGTTCCATTTCTTGTGCAACTGCTGCTTGGTCTTTCAATTCACACTGTTGTTAATCATTGTCTAGGTTGTTTTCTTGGTTCTGCTTTTTTTGCTCTGCATCAGTTCCTGTGAGTTTTCCCATGCTTCCCTGAATTCTTTGGAGGCAGTAGTATTTCATTAAATTAAGACATTCGCTAGCATATGGCAGTATTCCATTATATTTGTGTGTTGCAATTTGTTTAGCATTCTTCTTTTAGTGGGTATCTGCTTTGTTTCCAGGTTTTGGCTATCACAAGTACCGTGATTCTGTAGTATCTCTAGGAACTTTCTGTCTTGTACTTACTTAGGATGCCTTGAAGTAAAATCGCTGGATCAAAAGGTATAGGCATTTTAGTCACCTTTTAGCCTAATTTTAAAATGATTTCAAAAATAGTTGGGCTAATTACAATTCCACCAACGGTATATCAGTGTGCCTGTCTTTTCTTAAACCCAAGAAAGGGTTTTTAAATAGCCAGAAAGGAGAGAGGGAACATATTTCCATTGATTATATTTAGCTACAAAAGAATTAATTTCCTAATTATGGGAGTAAATAATTCTGTCAATTAGACTGCCTCTTAAATTTTAAGGTTTTACTATATATCCTTTATACATGCTTGCTTTGTGTGGCTTCAGATATTTCAACATGCTTTTGTTGGCCCGGTGGAATGAACTGTCTGTCTCTGAATCTCTGAAGGGAAACCATCCCAAAAGCAGGAAGCTGATAAATTCTTTTGTCCCTAGAAAAGTCAAATCACAGCATAATCCATGCAAGAATTCCTTGTATTTCAACTTAAAGTGGGTGTGGGACTGAGTCTTTTAAATATAAAAGGTTAGATCCCCTAGTAAAGTCAAACTATATGTATACAACTCCTTAAATTAAGAAGTCTGAGGCTATTAGTTGGGATTTTAAAGTCTTAAAAGTAAGTGTTCATGTACAATTAAAGAAGAGAGAAAGTGGGACTGTTCTTTCTATGCTGTTTTCTATTGAGATAAATATTTTAACATGCTTTGTGTTTGGGTTCTTGGAAAGCTGGTAATACCATGGGCCTTCCCCCTTCCCCTCTCTGGGCCTCAGTTTCTTCTTTAGTTGAATGAAGGAGTTTGTACTAAATAATGTCTAAGATCTCTCCCTCCTAATTTTAATGTTCTGTGAGCCTGTGGTTCCAATTTCTGAAGGTTATGTTGATGCTTAGCAATTTTTGTTCCAAGACATCAAAACGTTCTTGAAATCACTAGCTGATACATTGTTATTATTATTATCATCACCACCATTTATCATCGTTATCATATGCTGGCATGTTTTAAACACTTAAGAATGAGTGTTATTAGGCTAATGTTTCAGTTTATGGTAGAGGACATACTGCTATAGGTATTTGAAATAGCTTCATCTTGATTAAGATTTTTATATTTTACAAATACGGGTTTTCTTTTGTAGGTTTCAATGTGAACTGTATTAGCAGAAAAAATTCTTTGAAAAATTATTGACAAAGAATCTACATTTGGTAAGTCTGCATTCTCATTTCTACTTTCCTCTATTGTGTTGACTGAAGAACCGTATCAATGCGGGGAAGAATAATTAGTAAATTCATTAATTAGGAGAATGTTCATTTTTATTAGCAAATATACTTTAAAAAAGTTTTTATTGATGTCTTCTGTTTTTTACATTAGAATAGTTTTCCCTAGAATTCCTTATATATCCCATATATATATATATCCCATATATAGATACAGATATAGCTTTATATATGTTACACCCCATATAACAAATAATATTTTTAACACCTCCCCCCACCCAAAAAAAAAAGAAAAAGAGGAGGAAAAAAATCAGCACAACTGATCACTGTGAAGTGGAAAGTCAGAAATCATGTGCAGTGCGTCCCACCTCTGGATCTCCCACTTCTTTGAAGAAGTGGATTGGGGGGTATATTCTCATCTCTCTTCATTTGAGTCCTACTTGACCTTTATAATTTTGTTACATTTATATTTAAGTAAGTTATTTTATTTTGCTTGCTTAAAATTTTTGGTCTGGACCGGTGGGAAGTTGCCAGTGTGCAAATGCCCTCCATGAATGTAGACAGGCATCTCGATAATTGCCTGGGGCACTGAATGGTTAGGTGACTTGCTGCCTAGGGTCACAGAACTAATTGTGTGTGTCTGCAGTCAGACTTGACCTAGCAGAGGGAGTCAGGTGGAAAGAACACTGGGTTTGAAGTCACAGCACTAGGTTTAAATCTGTCCTCAGATGTTTACTGTCTGTGTGGCCTTACTACCCTTGGGGCCTCAGATTCTCTGTTTGTCATATGGAATTGGATGAGATGGCTTTTAGATACCACCATCCTGACTGCACGCCATACTACCCCAGACTTTTATTCATTTATCTATAGTGATAATACCTCTAAGTGTGATCACGAATTCTCAGTGTTGTAGTGAGGCCAGCCCATACCTGAGCAGGAGTCCTTCCCACATCGGTCCCAACAAGGCCCTCCAGCCTTTGAGGAAGACCTCAAATGAGGGGCAGTTCACTATCTCCTCCCTTTTTCTTTGTGTCCCTGGTCAGTCAGCTAGCATTTATTATGTGCTTACAGTGTGCCAGGCACTGTGCTAAGATGAAGAGAAAGGCAAAAAACTGCCTAATGTCATTCACTCTTGTTTTCTTTTACATTATCATGGTAATTACATAAGTTCGCATGTTTTACTTTGTATCTGTTCATTCAGTCACCCCAGTGTTTCTGAATTCTTCATATTTGGAAGAATATAATATTCTGTTAACATTCATATGCCTTAATTTGTTCAGTCATTCTTTAATTGATCGGCACCCAGTTCTGTGTTGCTATGAATATTTTTGTGTCTGTGGGACCTTTCCCTTTGTTTATAACATTGTTAGGGCATATGTGTAATAGAAGTGTTTATTTCCAGGTCAACAGATATATACAGTTTAGCGGCTTTTCTAGTATTGTTCCAAAGGGCTTCCTAAAATTGTTTTACTAATTCACCATCCTACCAACAGTCCGTCAGTGTCTCTTAATGTTGATCATTTTTGTTTCTTGTTATCTTTCCCAGCGTGATGGGGATGATTTGTTTAACTTTTTTCTTTTTGGATTTGGATTATTCTTTCATATAGTTGTTGATAGTATGCATTCTTCTTTTGAAAATTGCCTCTTGCATCTCCTTTTACCGCTTCACTGTTGGTGAATGACTATTGTTGTGACCTGTGTGTTTTTGTTTTTTTAATCGAGCAAAAATCCTTTCTTCCCCCCTCCCCTCATTGAAGGAAAAAAATCATTTATAAAACATTTTTAAACTTTTAAAAAATCCTTGTTTTATCTCTTCCAGGAATTCTAGCAGAACTTGTACTTAGGCTGTGTTTTTCTTTGAAACTTTGCTTGAAGAAGTTTTGGAGTCATTCTCTTCTTTGGAGTTTGTGTTTAGAGCATTCCTATGACCATTCTTTTTGGGGGGGATTCTTTTTTTCTTTCCCTTTTTCTTTTGCTTATTCTTCTAGCCTTTTTCCTTTTTTTCCTTTTTTTCTATCTATTTATTTTTAGTTTTCAACACTCACTTCCACAAGATTTTGAGTTCCAAATTTTCTCCCCATCTCATCCCTCCCCCCGCCCCAAGATGGCATGCATTCTGAATACCCCTTCCCCTAATCAGCCCTCCCTTCTATCTCTCCCCCCTTCTCTTATCCCCTTCCCCTTCAATTTTCCTGTAGGGCAGGATAGATTTCTATACTGCACTGCCTGTATGTCTTATTTCCTAGTTGCACGTGAAAACAATTTTTAACATTTGTTTTTAAAACTTTGGGTTCCAGATTTTCTCCATTCCTTGTTCCTCACCCACCCTCATTGAGAAGGCAAGCAACTCGATACAGGTTATACATGTGTAGTCATGTACTTCCATAGTAGTCATGTTGTGAAAAACTAACTATATATTTCCCCTCATCCTATCTTGTCCCCTGTTTATTCTGTTCTCTCTTTTGACCCTGTCCCTCCTTGGAAGTATTTGCTTCTGATTACCCCCTCCCCTACTCTGCCCTTTCCTCTATCATCCCCCTGCTTTCTTATCCCCTTCCCTCCTATTTTCCTGTAGAGTAAGATAGATTTCCATACCCAATTGAGTGTGTATGTTATTCCCTCCTTAAGCCAAATCCAATGAGAATAAGATTCCCTCATTCTCTTTCACCTTCCCCCACTTCCCCTCCACTGTAAAGGCCTTTTCTTGTCTGTTTTATGTGAGATAATTTACCCCATTCTACCTCTCCTTTTTTTCTTCCAGTAGAATCCTCTCTCACCCCTTTATTTTATTCTCCAGATGTCACCCCTTCATCTTCAACTCACCCTGTGCTATCTATCTATCTAACTATATCTATACATGTGTTTTTTTTCCCTCCAATACCCTAATACTGACAGGTCTCATGAGTTACAAATATCATCCTTCCATGTAGGAATTGAAACAGATCAACCTTAATAAGTCCCTTATGATTTCTGTTTCCTGTTTACTTCTTCATACTTCTCTTGAGTCTTAAGAGTATTCGAAAATCGAATTTTCTATTCAGCTGTGGTCTTCTCATCAAGAATTCTTGAAAGTCTTCTATTTCACTGTATGTTCATTTTTTTCCCCTAAAGGATTATACTCAGTTTTGCTGGGTAGGTGATTCCTGGCTGTAATCCTATCTCCTTTGACCTCCAGAATATTATATTCTAAACCCTCTCGTCTCTTAATGTAGAAGCTGCTAAATCTTGTGCTATCCTGATTGTGTTTCTACAATACTTGAATTGTTTCTGACTGTTTGTAATATTTTCTTCTTGACCTGGGAACTCTGGAATTTGGCTAGAATATTCCTAGGAGTTTTCCTTTGGGGATCTCTTTTAGGAGGTGATTGGTGGATTCTTTCCATTTCTGTTTTACCCTCTGGTTCTAGAATATCAGGGCAGTTATTATCTCTTCTGGATCTATTTTCTAGGTCAGTTGTTTTACCAGTGAGATGTTTCACATTGTCTTCTATTTTTTCATTCATTTGGTTTTGTTTTACAATGCCTTGATTTCTCATAAAGTCACTAGCTTCCATTTGCTCTGTTCTAATTTTTAAGGAAGTATTTTCTTCAGTAATCTTTAGGACTTCCTTTTCCATTTGGCCAATTGTGCTTTTTAAAAAAATTTTTTTTAAATTTTTTTCAATTCATTTTGATTTATCAACAATCACTTCCATATGCTTTTGAGTTTAAAATTTTTCTCCTCCTTCTTCCCCACCACCCTTCCCAAGATGATGCACAGTCTGATATAGGCTATACATATACATTGCTATTAAGCATATTTTCACATTAGTAGTGTTGTAAGTAAGAATTAGAACTAACAGGAGGAACCATCAGAAAGAGAAAACAGATTTCAACAGAAGAAAAAAAAAATAGCAAATAGCATGCTTTGATCTGCATTCAAACTCCATAGTTCTTTCTTTGGATGTGGAGAGCATTTTCCATCACAAGGCCTTTGGAGATATCTTAGATCCTTGTATTGCGAGGAAGGGTTAAGTTTATCAATATTAGTCATCACACAACGTGGCTGTTATTGTGTACAATGTTCTCTTGGTTCTGCTAACTTCACTCAGCATCAGACCATACAAGTCTTTCCAGATTTTTCTGAAGTCTGCCTGTTCATCATTTCTTATAGCACAATAGTATTCCATCACATTCATATACCATAACTTGTTCAGCCATTCCCCAATTGATGGGCTTTCCCTCCATTTCCAGTTCTTTGCTACCACAAAAAGAGCTGTTATAAATATTTTTGTACATGTGAGTCCTTTTCCCATTTTTATGATGTCTTTGGAATACAGCCCTGCAAGTGCTATTGCTGGGTCAAAGGGTGTGCACATTTTTATAGCCCTTTGGGCATAGTTCCAAATTGCTCTCCAGAATGAATGGATCATTTTATAACTCCACCAACAATGCGTTAGTGTTCCAGTTTTCCCACATCTTCTCCAATATTTATCATGTTCCTGTTTTGTCATGCTGGCTAATCTGATAGGTGTGAGGTGGTACCTCCGAATTGTTTTGATTTGCATTTCTCTAATCAATAGTGATTTAGAGCATTTTTTCATATGACTATAAATGGCTTTAATTTCTCAACTGAGAACTGCCTGTTCATATCCTTTGATCATTTATCAATTGGAGAATGACTTGTATTCTTATAAATTTGACTTAATTCTCTATATATTTTAGAAATGAGGTCCTTATCAGAGAGACTGGTTATAAAAATTCTTTCCCAATTTTCTACCTTCCTTCTAATCTTAGTTGTATTGGCTTTGCTTGTGCAAAAACTTTTCAATTTAATGTAATCAAAATTATCCATTTTGCTTTTTGTAATGTTCTCTATCTCCTGTTTGGTCATGAATTCTTCTCCATAAATCTGATAGGTAAACTATTCCCTGCTTTCCCAGTTTGCTTACAGTATCAGCCTTTATATCTAAATCATGAACCCATTTTGATTTTATTATGGTGTGAGA